TGTCTCTGCTAATGTGGGATGCACATTTTGGTACAGAAGTGTCAGGAATGTTCTTTGTGAATGCAAAGAAGGATCATCAAATAGGCTACGGTTAGAGTGGGATATTGTTGTGGGGACTTTCAGTTTGTATGCAAGTACATGAAGAAGAGATTCGTAAGTCGATCTCACTATAAGAGGACTAATAAATCGCGTTGTACTGCAGCCGTTCAGCCTTTATACGATGTTCATGTTGACGCAGTCCACGAGACCTCCCTCGTTTCGGGTGAAAATGGGCTGAGCTTTCGTCCAAAATTCGATGGACATCATCAGAGCTGTATCTCATTCCTGTAAAAGTCTCACGTTAACAGACGCCAAGTCAATAAGACTATCCAGCTCTATCTCACCTCTTAAATAGACTCAATTAAGCCAAAAAGAAATTAAAAACCTTGATAAAAATAGAGTGGTTAGAATAATTATCTTTCATACTGGTCTTGCTACTTTTGCTCGAGTGTGTGTTTGTGTTGATGTCTATACACAATACCAGTTATTGAAAGGCTAATGTAGGCCCTGATAATCAAGGCCTAATGACTAGAGAGAAGGCCCTGACCGAGACTGCGTGAGTCTGTGAACAAGTATGGTAAAGATAATGAGAGATTAGCTTGTAAGTCAAGTTACGAAACCACTCAAGGAAAAGCATGACTGGGGCTGCGTAAACTCGTAAGTCTGGTTTGGTTAATGAGCTTAATCTAACATTTTGGACGAGTGTGAGTGAAGTTAGAACCATCACCGAAAAGACAAGTTGAGTCGTCTTCTTTTGGATAAGGGCTCAACTTACTCTCTTTCCTTCAATCGTTCAATTTAGCTTGAGCAGTTCTAACTCGTTGAGCTTGCTTCCATTTCGAGTGAGTTTTGGGCGAAGAGATTCGAAGGCCGGTCTTATACCAGAAGACGACGGCGGATTCCTCTTGACCAGCTGTCGAATGACTTTACTGGAAGATTCACGCTGGCGCTGTTTCCGAGGCAATCTGCTTCGATTCCGGTAAAAAGGTGCTAAGTTTTTGTGCGTCATATGACGAACATCATCAGAGAAAGATATCATCGTCATAACCAAATTCAAGCTAGCCAGTCAAGAAAACTAGACAATCTTTTTCTCAATTATTTTCTCCAAAAGACTTTATCAAATTGCAGAAAATGGCGGACCGTTTGGCGGATGGGATGGGTAAGATCCATATATCTCGACATGATAAGAAATTAAGCAATTTAGGCAGAATAAAATATGAATAGATCACCCTAGCATAATAATGTTTAAATCGTCGAAACAATAAGGAGGTAGTTAAATTTAGTACTATGTTTTTTAGCAAAAATAACGTCATTAATTTATCCAGCATATCTATAGATGATAATGCTATGCTCGTCTTTGAAATGAGTTTAAACTTTGCATGTGCTGCTCATGGATAAATTAAGAAGTTTTATGATTGAGTCTTCGCTCAGAATTCTCTCCCCAATAACTTCTGGGTGCTCATCTAGGCTGAGTGTAAGTGCTTAAATAGCTTTATGAACTGGGATGTTAGTATACATTGATACCATATCAAACCTAACCAAAAGATCCTCCTCTTTAATACTATGTTGATCTATTAATCT